CACCCTGACCACAAGCATGGCAGTGCAGTGTCACTCTGACAACCAACCCTGGCACACTGTCCCCATGCTGGCCACAAGCACCTCAGGAAGGTCCCAGGGTGCTGCACCAGGGCTGGCACAGGATGGAGCCCTGTTCTGCACCCACAGCACCATGAACCTTGTCCACACAGGCTGCATCCCTGCTGAACAGCTCTGTGACATTCCCTCCTGCCCCGGCAGTGATCCTGCTAAGCTGTCTACCTGGGGACTGATTTCTCTGGCAGGGATGCTCTCACTAACAGATATAATTTCCCTCAGAAAGCAGGTTAGTAAAAATACGTGGGGGCACAAGTATCCTGTGGGAAAGCTGTGTGAGAACACGGGGCTTTCCCAAGGGCTGGCCTGGGAGCAGAGGTTTTCCCAGAAACAAAGGCACCTGCTACTGTTTACAGAGTGTGTATTTTGAGAAATCTGTTGTTTATTATGAAAACATCTATGCAAGAGGTGTTGCTTGCTCTGACGAATGAGCTATATTCTGTTCTGGGGTTAGCGAGGGAGTGTACTTAAGGAAGGTAGTCTTACAATAAAGTGAATCTTTCTTATCTTGAGAGGAGACCATGTTGCTGTGTGTTTTATTATGGCTGTTCCAACAGCTAATCCTTAATTAACAGCAACAGAAATATGTTGAAGCACTGGCCATCAGCTACTATTGCTTTTACACAAATACACAAGAATATAAACTGTTTAAATGTATAGACGCACTTTTAATTCTTCACAGTGTCTTTGAACCATAAAACAGCTGAAATCTTCCATTAAATGAATTTTTACAATCCAGTCTCTGTAACTTCTAATTCCTAATTTCACAAAGTTTAACAAGATCGAACTCGCATTATCTTACATAACAGTGCAGAAAAATATTATGCTGTGAGTTATTGTGTGAAACACATGTATAACTTAGTTAGAAACCACTTACTGTACCATTGTTCAGCCATATTGACTGGTTTGTTGGACAGATCAGTTTTACTGTGTGACTAAGATGCACATAATGGTTTTATTTGATTTATAATTTAATTCCACGCTTTGATATATGTAAAACATCCTGAGGATATCCTTTCATAACATTAAGAGCTTCTAAATTCAAGTAGAATGACACTCACTTGTTACAATCCTGTATTATCTAATGGAAGAAACCTTCAAGTAACTAACAGTTTCCACTTAAAGAACAACTGATTGCTATCTGGATGTATAAGAAAACGAAACTCCTGTAAATAAGCCCATTTTTCAAAACGTGTTATTGTAAGATTCAGGTGTGATATTCTTCTATATAGGTATTTTAAAATTAAGATCCAACAGCATTTTACTGCTCAAAGCAATTAAATACAGATTATCTAGTATGAGAATTTTAGTTTTTCCATTTTCATAGAACCCCAGTAAAACAATCACTGAGTGCACTATGCTAGGCTGAGAAATGCATACAACGTTTGCTATTAATCAACTGCAGGGAAAAAACCAATTATCTACAATCTCTTAACTAAAAAAAACCACTTCTTTTATTATTTAGGAGATAATTACTATATTTACTTCTACATGTAAAAGAAAATGCATTAACACATGCTATGTTAAATATGAACAATGGCTTTCTTCTGGAAACGTAAATTGATGACAGTTTACTAATGCTGGAATCAAAGGAGCTTTCTAGCTGTATTTTCATAGTATTAGGGCCATCTTCCACAGTTATTTAATAATTATTTCATATAGATTCCATTAGTGAGATCAGCCCCATAAAAAACTTTATGCTACCTTGAATAAAAAGCCACATTCTTAGGTATTTCAGGTTCTCCATCACATCAAATCAGGCTACTGGTTTCTGATTTTTGGGAATCACTTAGGTCGGAAAACATCCTTCAAGATCAAGGCCAACCACTAACTCGACACTGCCAAGTCCACTACAAATCCATGCCCCAAGTGCCACACGTGTGCATCTTTTAAATCCCTCCACAGATGGTGACTGCACCACTGCTCTGTGCAGCCTGTTTTAATGCCCAACCAAACTTTCCATAAAGAATTTTTACCCAATATCCAATCTAAGCCTCCTCTACCTCAAGCTGAGACCATTTCCCTTTTTCTGTTACTTATTAGCTGGGAGAAGAGCCTGACCCCCGCCTGGCTACACCTTCCTCTCAGGCAATTGCAGAGATGATAAAGCCACACCTCAGCCACCTTTCCTCCAGACTGAACACCCCCAGCTCCCTCAGCTTCTCCTCATCAGACCTGGGCTCCAGACCCCTTCCCCAGCCCTGCTGCCCTTCTCTGGCCATGTTCCAGCCCCTTGGTGTCTTCTTGTGCTGAGTGGCCCAGAACTGGGCACACGATTCGAGGTGGTGCATCACCAGTGCCCAGCACAGACAGCAGTGATTAGGATTTTCTATGCAATAAGTTATGGTATTATGCTGTAGCTCAAGTGGGTTTTAAAGGGTCTAAGTTATGGTAGTAACTGTGGACATAAATGCTGTTTTTGTCCTGAATAAAATTTTCTGACTTCTAAAAAACCTAACTTTATGGAAAAATAAAAAAGCAAATGAACAAACCACAAAAAAAAGTAACGAGCACTATTCAGTTGGAACCATTTGAAGTACAGAATCAAGACTGAGCCAGGACTTCACATTTCTTTGGGAAGAATGTGCTGAAGAACACCACCACGAATCAGGCTTTTTATGAGAAGCATGATTTGAATTAGCTGACCTGATACTTCAGTCAACCGGAGAAGACAACAGGCAATTCCCAAAGGCTATGTAACGTGCCTGCACCTATTTTACACAAAGCAGGCAACTGAAACTCAGGCTTTTTAAGATGCATTTTAAGTAGAGAGCTCATAATATAAAGTCGAAATTACTAATGAAAGTGATCTTGAAATAAGAGTTCAAATCAAAGTCACTCTGAATTTGCTAGATTCCAAGTTTTGAACTCAGTAGTCTCCCTTTCTCTTTTTTTTCCTTATTTTCCAGTCATTAGGAAAACAAAATTCTTGTGAAACAGAATTTAATGGAATGAGGAAGAATAGCAAGAAAAAGCTCTTGCAGACAAAGCAAAACTCTTCATACTCTTAACCTCAGCATTGATTTAAAAGAAATGGACACTGTATCAAATGTGTAAGCATAACGGACTGAGAATTTAGGGATAAAATCAGAAAGGACCAAGCACAAACTGAAACAAAACTGGCAAGGGGCAAAGAACAGTACAAATTATGCAAAAAGTATGCTCAGTAGTTACAGGAAAACTCGATAAAAAATTGCTATATCATTCGACTGCTAAGGAAATCTGTCAATATAAGATTCTGAAAGACCAGAATTAAATGCCTTTTTTACTTCAGACTTCACTAAAGTTCACCAATGAGCCAGATGGTTAACTCAATTACAACAATTACAAAGGACTGACTTGGATGATGGACTAAAATCTCTTTAAATCAAAAAAGAAATCTTGCTTCTCATCAGTGGTGAGGTGTTCTTCAGTTGCAGCAAGAAATACCCAGATAATGCTAACATAAGCTTTCCACTGGTGAGAAAATAAGACACTGCAATAGATTGTCTACAAATAAGATTAAACCTACAGGGAGGTATTTTTAAAGAACCAGGTACAATGGAATACTTTCAACTAGAGATGAATTTCAAGCCTCATTTTCTATGGGTTTGTGGCAATCTACATACAAGTGGCTCCGAAAACCTCTGGATAGTGACCACTGCCATAATCTGGAAGATGTCACAGGGTATGGAACATTACGCTGCTTCTGGAGAGGTTTCAGTAGTTTGAACTCCATTATCTGACATATGTAAAACACTTCCATAACCACAGCACTTTCCTGGGAAAATCACAGAACATGTAGAAGCACCTCCATGATTGTGGTTTTGTGTTTTTTTGGTGTGCTGCTTCTGGTTTTCTAAACTACTCATGTTACTCTTGCAAAAGGTCAAGGAAGGAGAAGAGGAAGGATGATTCAACAAAAAAATGTGAGGCAAATAAGAGGCAAGTAATATAATAAAGTATAAAATAGCAGAGAAAATACTGTAAGTAGTTATTTCTTTTTTTCTACAACAGAAATTTAAATGGCAATATTATTTTCTTTTACGTATTTTTATGTCTTTTATGTACGAGAGTATTTTGAATGAGCATCTAGATTATTATTATCTAGGATTGTTTTTGAGCTATTCCACATCACAGGTTAAAAATGACAGGTAGGCAAGGTTCTCATGCAGGTTGCCAGTGTTAACAGACCAGCAGAACACCTCACTGCAGTTAAGGCAGGGACACAAGTGAGCACAGCTCAACTAAGTGACTCCCATTGTTCATTCCACTTGACCTCTTTAGCAAGGAGCTCACCACAGGAGTATTAACCTCAGCTCCCTAATCCTCCTAACCCCGTGGTCTGAATTTGCCTTTAGAAAAATTCTCTAGATCAGATCAGTCCCAAAAAGCCGGTCTCACACAATGGTTACTACTCCAAAAACTATTTTCATCCTTCTTTTCACTCCCTGATAAGCAGCTATCTGGTGCACAATATCCAGTATTGGCATTAACTTCACACTTATTTTTGCCTGCTCATAAACTGCAGCTGCAGATCCCAAGTTCCCACAGCCCAGAGGCCTCAGCTGCTCTCTTCTGATTGACTACTGTAGCTATTTGAGTTTGCCCTGAGCCTGTCCCTCAGATTTTTTTCATCAATTCAAGTTAAAAATAGCTGCAGGAAGAAAACACTGATGACTGGACTGTTCTCAATAGATTCTGAGGAAGCAACACAATAAGGTACATCAGTGGTGTTGTGCAGAGTGCATTAGGATAAGTTTCACTTTTTTAAATCCCAAAGTACAACTGCAGTGGGCTGAAGAAGACCAGCTGTGATGTTAAACTATGAAAAACTATCTGAAAAGCTGTGGCAGTGGAGCATATCATTCTACAGAATCTTGCAAGGTCACCCTATGAAGACAAGGGTAGAACAGGTGATTTCCACAGATACCAGCGACATGGACTTTTCAAGATTCTGCACTAAATTCAGAATTTATCTTACCATTGCAAGCTTCTGCCTTGCTTATCAAATGTATTATGTAAAACAAGCATTCAGAAAAGTTGAAAATACGTTAAAATTTTACAATAATAAAATTAAGTGTTTACAAAATAACATAAGTGTTGTTTCCGTATTTTTGAAGTGTAAGACAAGGAACTGACCAATTACTTTCTATTTCTGCTGTCTGTGTTTTTCAGTTGTGTTAGTATTGAATACAATCACTAGAGAAGCAAGTGAATAGCTGAAAGACTATGAGATCATGCACACATCTTCAGTCTAATGTAAAGAAACTGCAAAAACTAGGAGTTTTGAATGCTCAGAGGAGCATCCAGAAGTGATTTGTAAATAAAAACCCCACTGATTTGCCATGGCTTAATCTTACATAAGGACTTTATCATCAGCTGAGTTATTACTTGAGTGATTTCAGTGGTTTCTCTAAAGCTTGTTCAGTCATTGGCAAAAGCAGTTGCTGTCTGAACCTGAGATGTTCATGCCCGAAGTTTCTAGGGAAAAGACAAAGTCATAAAGATTTCTGCATAGTACCAGAGCAACAAAACATCCAGTTTTCAAGAGATCTTATCATTCTGCTATTCCTCTGTTAGGACTGCGCTTTTGTTATGCATGGTTGAGAGGAAATCTCTTTTAGGTAGTTATTGGCATTTCAGATTGATTAAAACTTCTGTAGTGTACTCAGCAGGAGTAACTTACAGAAAATACAAAACTATCACCATAAACATCTGGGGACAGCATTAAATAGTTAATTCAATAACTGGAACTACAGAATCAACTCATCATTGCTTAAATGTAGAGATTTAACTGGTTATAGTAATAAAGTCCGAGAATTATTAAAATATGTGGTATACACTATGTTACACAATAAGGAGTGGTACCTTGGTTATCACACTGTAGACATGGGTCCAATATACAAAACAGCTACTCAGAAGTGACTTAGGTGAACTCAAGAAAGACTAATTAACTTTGCTCAAAAACCAGTGTTGTTTCTGTGGTGTTGCTCTTTCTGGCTTTATGCCCCAAGAGTAAACATCCAATTAAAATTGAAAGCCAATATACTGAACTCAAGATTCAACAGTTTATTTTTACACACATAATAGGATAATATGCCTCACTGTAAGAAAGCACTTCATGTCTGCTGCACCACTGAAAAAGCAAGGAAATGCACTGGTTTTGAAAATATGTAGTAAATTCTATCTGAAAAAAAAAACCTGAAATGATGAGCTATTTATCCTGCTAGTCAAAAGCCAGGACAATTTCATCAGAAAGATCATTACGAGCACACAAAGAAAGCTTTAAAATTACTTCAGATACACTTTCTGTGCTTGTTTTGGCTGTGATAGCGTTAATTTTCTTCATAGTAAGTATCAGGGTGCTATGTTTTGGATTTATGCTGCAAAAATGAGAAGCAAAAATGGCTTTGCCTCTACGTAAGCACTCCTCAGCAATAACTAAAATTCCCAACCCTGTAATATCAACACTGTCTTCAGCACAAATTCTAATCATTGAATGTTATAGAAATCATAGCCCCATAACAACTTCTGTGAAAACAATTAACTCTAGCCCAGCCCAAACCAGCCCAGTGGCATGTACATGTGAAATTAATGAAGAAGAAACAGTTTCAAACCAATTAATATGGTTCAATGAAGTATTAAATACAACCGCCAATGATTCTACTACATAGCAGTTTTAAACAGGTTTTTATTAATCAGAAAAAGTTTTTAACCAGGAAAGAAGATGTTCCTTGCTTTGAAAGAAAAAATGACAAGCTAGAATCAAAAACCAGCATCTTTCAGCTCCTTACTAAGGGTCGCACTTTGCATCTATACACAGTTTTTGTTTAAGGCTAAGATACATGACAGGGATGATTTGCTTAACTTAAAAATGTATTTGCTATTAAAAAAAGGTAGAAGTTATTACAATAAAAATAAGTTCTATCAAGATGAAGTACACACATTCATACTTGGGACAACAAAAACAAACAAAAAATCTTGTATCTGACATACAATGCTATCACAAAAACAGAGAAAGGAATCTCCTGCAACATGTCCAGTGTAATCTGAGACACAAGACATAGAAGTTTTATTTGGAAATTCGGGAAAACATAGTTATAAAAGAAGAGTTCAGTTGCTCTTAATGGGCAGGGAATTTTAATCATTGTGAGTGCTGCTGCTGAGTTCACTACTTACCTCATGATGAGTGATGCACATGATGGACTACTCCAGTTTCTTAAGAATGACAATATAAAGAAGTTCTCCAAGAACTTTCTAGGAGTTAAAACCTTTCATTAGCTATCTGAGGATACCCACAGAGTAGATATTGAATTATCTGAAGAAACTTAGCTCACCTTGTTTTAATTTCCTCGCTTGTTTCTAGAATATATACTTTTTATTACTATAGCTGTGAGACACAATATTGAATTCAAATTTTATATTAGAAATTCTTGGCTTCTAAGTAGATTATAGCCATCCATTCAAAGTAAGTTTTACCACAAGCTTTTATTTAAAAATCTGAGCTGAAGATACCTGCGCATTTATTCTTTGTCACAGAAAAGATTATTTGCTCCACACGTTTGAAAAAAATGGGATTTTAAAGGGTTTCTGAACACAATTGATACTAAGAGCAATATTTGATCTTTTTTGCTACACATTTTTCCATTAAGTGCGGAACAGAAAAAAAAAATAATCTGTAAGTAAGCACCTGAAGTTCTGACCTTTAAATTCGGTCTATATGCTAATCCCTCCTAGTTAGGAATCGGTTCCCCAAATCATCAATATGGAACACTAAGCATAATCCTGCTTTGAGATTCAAAGAAGTTACTTTGCAAACACGAAAGTTTTAGAACTAATTTTTGTTTAAAAACATTTGAAAACTCTGTGTTTTAAAGAGCTTCAGCTTGCCACAGAGTTTATCTTTCATATTCCGATACAGTCGCTTTCTTCTGTGCTATCAATAAAAACTAACACTGACCTTCCTCTTGGAAGGTTAAACTTCTAGCTTCTGTTTGAAACACTAGAGTGCCTTTTCTCAGAAGAAATGCTACATATACCTGCCGCCAGCAACGAGAAAGAATACACTATTGCGCCGACCCTTCATTAGTCAGAGGATCTTGGCAACAGCAATAGTGCCTACATACGGTGTCTGCATGAAAAACTGTTTTCAAAGGTAACCTTGCCAAGGGCTATGTTCCGTCTTGGCAAAAGGAAGCAAACTTTACTTTTCTACCAATCAGTTCACTCTGCATGAGAAACAGGTGTTATGATAGGAAATGGGACTTGGAGTAGAAACAAAATACAGTTCTCTAAAAATAAGTTTGGTTTGGAAAAAAATCAAAGATAATAAGCCTGCAGGGCTTACATGTTTTTGCAAAATGCAAATCATGAAAACTGGTTAAGGGATTAAGTGCTCTTTTTCAAAAATGACCATGGAGATTATAATCATTAATTAAAATCATGTAAATAATATTCTGAAAGAACTCTTCTTTTTTATCTCATAGGTTTCAAAAAAGTCTAATGGTAAAAGATGTAGTCTCAAAAGAGCTACTCTAATTAAAAATAAAAATTTAGCATAATTAATAAGTGTGACTAGGCCTGTAATCTCACCACTTTTTTCAACAGAGAAATAAGATTATATTTTTAAGTATCATTATAGCAGGCATATACAATGGATTGTACCTTTATGTGTCCTTTTATATATTTTCAATCAATTTAATAAGTACTGGTATTAAAACCTTGATTTTTGGTCACTCATTACTACTGCTCCTTAAAACATGGCATGTGGTGGTTCTGCTCACTTTCTAAGCCTTCTGTCAATCATCTGTACTGATACATGATCAAAATACACTAAACAGACAGACTTAGTAAAAATAATTATAAAAAATATTTATCTATTTTTTATAGCACATTGTCTCTATATTCTACAATTTCTCCACAGGAATACAATGATGAAATATTGTCCTCCCTACTCTAGCTTTATTTCAGAACTTCAAATTATTCTGGAAGAGATGCTCTTCTGTATGTCATACTGAGGCTCAGCTAAGATATGCTGTCTTTTTCATGAAAACAAGATGGGAATCTCTTGCACTATTTTGAAATTGAAGATACTTTTAGGAGTCCTTAACTGTGTTTCCTCTATGAATAAAGATGAATGATTCAATATTTTGCAGAAAATACAATAAAGCAGAAGTTAAGAGCGTATTTAATGACCTAAAATAAATTGCACTGACATTTGAAGAAAAAAAGTTTCTTAAAAAAAAGCATGAAAATTCAAATTATATTAAAAGCTACGTTCCAGTTTTTGAAGTGTATTGACAAACGGAGTCTTTTAAAATTTGATTGTTTTTTTTCTTCCCAGAAGAGTAACTGTTACCTTGCAGCATTTCACAGGAATAAGAAGGGTGGCGCACGGCTACAAACCCACACAGCACTACAGGCTTGGGATGAATGTGTAGAAATCTGCCTGGTGGAAAAGGACTGAGGGGTGCTGGCAGAGAGCAGCTGAGCATGAGCCACGGTGTGCCCAGGTGGCCAAGAAGCACAAGGGTATCCTGTGGCCAGCAGGAGCAGGGTGGTGACCTGTGCCCTGTGCTGGGCACTGCTGAGGCCACATCCTGCATCCTGTGCCCAGCTCTGGGCCCCTCAATCCAGGCAGGCCATGGAGGGGCTGGAGTGTGTCCAGAGAAGGGCAGCAGGGCTGGGGAAGGCTCTGGAGCACAAGCCAGGTGAGGAGCAGCTGAGGCAGCTGGGGCTGCTCAGGCTGGAGGAAAGGAGCTCACAGGGGACCTTTTAATCTCTACAACTCTCTGACAGGAGGGTGTGGGCAGGTGGGAGTCAGGCTGTGCTCCCAGACAGCATGAGAACAAGTGTCAGGACAAGAGGAAATGGTCCCAGGTTGCATCAGGCGAGGTTCAGATCGGGTATTAGGGAAAGGTTGGTCAGGCAATGGGATAGGCTGCACAGGGAGTCACCATTCACAGGGGTATTCAAGGACATACACATGTGGCACTTGTGGACATGGTTTAGTGAAGGACTTCACAGTTGGATTCAATGATCCTGAAGGCCTTTTCCAAGGTAAATGATCCTAATAGTATTTAATAATGTATATCAAAAGAAAAAATAAGTATAGACAGTTAACAACCACCTTTGACTAAAACTGAAAACATGAACATGAATTTTCCCACTCATCACTTCACTGTTATTTTTGACTTATACTTTAAATAAATATGACCTAAATATTTCACGTGCAAAAGGCAACAGTTTCTCGGAACTGCTGCTCTGTTCTGTAACGAAGTAACAAAGCATGCCAGTTGTTCTTTTGACACCGTAAAAGAGATGTAAATAGAACACACTAATAGTGGCAAAAAAGTAGTTCCTTTGAATTCTAACACAAAATGCATCTTGCAACTTGTCTAAAAGCCACAAACACAACTAGCTTTCCTACATACTCTTAAATAAATAACAGTACATGCTACCCCCCCTTAACAACTGAAGAGAACATCTAACAACTTTTAACTTCTTGCAGGATAATTTTTACAGCTTTTTACAAATGCGGTACCCTTGCTGCATTTTGATTGGTAAGAGACTTTACAGAGATACCTGCAACCCAAAAGGACAAACATACTGTAATACTGTTCAAAAAGCTTTCAAATCCTAAATTCTCAGGGTGTCTCAATTTTGAACATTACAGGACATAGAAAAGTCACACTGAAGAAGAGCAGGTAGCATAGAAAAAACAAACCATCCTCTTATATTTCATGCTATTTTAGATGTAATTGAAATGCTGTATGAGCTAACCCAGTTGAATTGTTTGCTGCAATTTAAATAAACATGAAATCAGAATCACTGGGCAACACACAATACTCCTAAAATTAGCATTTCCATTTCCATTTGTGCTCAATAACAAAGAACAGATTATTAGATAAAGTGGAATGCACAAAAGACTCAGTATGCAGGCATTACTTTTAAATAATCATATAGGCAGCCCATCTACCAGAAATGGTGAGTAAAATACAAGATATACTCCATGGTTTTGTAAGCAATTTACAGTATTGTACAGCCAATCTGTAACTATTCACTTGCAGACATGTACCCTGCATAAACAAGTTAAAAGTACCTCTAGAAATATTTAAGAAAAAAAATGAATTATATACTCATTGGTGACAGTTTAAATCTTCCACAAAGCCTGAGAAATTAAAAACTTGGTAGATGGTTAGGAAAAATGCAGTGGTATCACTAACACTTCTAAAGTGATTTTATGAAAAGAAAAATTTCACACAAAGGATTCTTCTTCATTCCTCTTTGAAGATGTCAGGAACACATTTTTTCATAACACACATGGATTGCCACCACTGAGAGTACTTTTGGTTTTTTTATTAATTACAGTGCAACCAACTATCTTTTTCGAACTCCACAATACTTTAAACTATGAGTTTAAACTCTGCAAATGCTATTTATAAATTCATGATTCCAAAACACTGTAAAAAAAAAACCTACTCACTTTTAGAGAAACAAGCTTCACTTTCAAAATAAAATCGCCTACAGAACTATTTACAGTATTTTTTTTGGTCACAAGTAAATAACATAATATTTAAAGCCTATTTAAAAAGTCACTTTTTGTGACCGAAAATAATGTTGTCAGATTAAATTCGTCTCCTCCCCCCATAATATTCATTGCACTGATCCAACACTGCTAATTTTGGTTGACCGCAATTAACAAAATATGTCAGAACAATTTTGGTAGGTTACAATTTCTTCACAGTTCTTTACCTTCATAGAACTTTAATCACAGCTC